TCAAACCAAAAACCTATGATCCACACATCCCCAACATGATCAAAGCCTCCCAACATTCTCATAATTCAAATCCATGTCACTCCACCAAAGTCCAACTAAAAATTCCCTTATTTACCCATCCATCAAACCAAGATTCCATTTTAAGCCCCCTCGTTGGCTGAAATACTCATAATCTAGATCCTTATGATTTCCACACCTCTAAAACCATCGCACACTTCCATAAACTGAAAGGACCCCAGGATACCCACCACCCTAATTTCATATCCAATAGTTCCCATTTTGCTCTTTGTACGCAAAGATTCCAAATCCATCATTCTCATTACTCACTACTCTCAAAATCTTAGATATCCATAATGACAACTCCCCCAAGATGCTCAAATCTTCCTAAAACCTCCAACAAATCCCTGATCAACCATCCACCAGATTTTAGACCCAAAAAATGAGTGTTTTACCCTTCATCCAAAAAGATTGCAAACTGACTATTATTATCGGTCGACACTCTCAAAATCCAAGATCTTCATCAAAACACTCCATCTAAGACCCTAAAATCTTCCTAAAACCTCCATCAGACCCCTAATCGACCGTCCACCAAATTTCAAGCCCAAAATGACCGTTTTGCTCCTACATCCAAAAGATTCCAAATCGACAATTCTTATTGGCCACCACTCTCCAAATAAAAGGTCTTCATCAAGACACATCATCTAGGACATTCAAAACCTGCCAAAACCTCCTTCGACTTCCCGATCAACCATCCACCAAATTTCAAACCTTAAAATGACCATGTTGCCCCTCATCCAAAAAGATTTCAAACCGATGATCCTAATTAACTACCACTTTCTAAATCCAAGATTTCCATAATGACACCTCCCCCAAGACACTCAAACCCATCAAAACTCCATCAGCTTCCCGATCAACCATGCATACAATTCCAGACCTTAAAATTACCTTTTTACCCTTTATTCCAAAAGATTTCAAATCGACGATCCTCATTGGCCATCACTCCTCAAATCCAAGATTTCCATCATGACACACTATTCAAGACCTTTGAACCATATCAAAACCCTCATCAACCTTCTGATCGACCATCTATCAAATTTCATATTTCAAAATGATTATTTTACCCTTTGCTTAAAAAGATTCCAAATGGATAAGGGTATCCATCACCACGCATCATCCGACACCTCCAAACCCCATCAAAACCTCCCAATCAACGATCCATCACATTTCATACCTTAAAATGATCTTTTTACCCTTCTTTCAAAAAGACTCCAAATCGACCATCCTCGTCGTCCTATACTCTTTGATTTCAAGATATCCACCGTTACACATCACCCGACACCTCTAGATCTCATCAAAGCCTCTCGATCATCAATTGGTTAAACTTCAAACATTAAAATTACCATTTTACCCCTCTCTTATAATGATTCCAAATCGAGGGCTCTCATTGGCCGCTACTCTCATATTTCAAGATATGCATTGTGGTACACCCTCCGATACACCTAGACCATGCCATCACCTTCTTAAACACCTGGACAAACCTTCCTCCATTTTTTAAACCCAAAATGACCATTTTAGCCTTCTGTAGGTACATAGTTCTCGTACAGTCCCTCAGAGCACAATAGACATTAGATTAATACCACATGGATGCTCACGATCAGCCAACAACTCATCTTTCCTATGCGATGAACATGCGGTTCACCACACGCTTGCGATGAACCTATGCTTAGCATAGGCCCAAAACGAACTCAAGATGAACCTGCGATGAGGCTTCACAAATACCTAGCCCCGCGATGAACCCTAAAACCGTTACAGGATTCTGGTTTGTTAAGAACTAGACTCGGGTATTAGCCGCACATGTAATGTCAATATGGGGAACATGACGTGGCGCTACGTAGGTCTAATAAAATCTCACCTGCCAAGTAGTGACATCACTAGCGCCTCGTCAGTTAAGTAAGGAGCAAAAGAGTAGTAGCACATGTGGGCTATGAGGATCTCCGAGTGAAAGGAAAGCCAATCCTCGGAAAGATCCTCATAGGGAGGCGTGGCAAAACCCCAACAATGCCCTTAATGATTAATGGCGAATCTAATATTCACTTCCCTAGTAGGAGACAAACGCCTTTAGTTCCTTTCTTTCAAGATCTCGGGATCTTCCCCATAAATGGAGATCCTTCTCAAAATGAAATTCATTCAACCACTAGTTCTTAGTCTTTCTTTGTCTTTCAAAGAGACAACTTCTCTATCTTAGCCGCCACCTTACCTACAGTAGAATCTCTAGTTCCATCTTTGATCACAGAGAATGGCTGCCTGTAGAATCAACCTTACACCCATCTCTAAAGAACACAACAACATCCCTAAGAATACCAACCCAGGGGTGGAGAATCATTTCAAAATGAAGGCAGCCGATCGAGTTGATATCAAAATACATTTGAACAAGGTATACAAGTTCGAGGCCCACTTTGAAGCTCGGTTTGAAAAACTTGAGCAGCTGCAAGAAGAAACAAGGAACGCCCTCCAAATTCTTCTCCAACGATCAGCCCAAGCCAAATAGTCTCCCTTCACCCAAATCGCCATTCCCACTGGCGTCCCTGCCAGCCATCACACCTCCAACCCGATTCCTACTGCCCCAGAAAAACCCAACATAACCAATCCAACGCCCATGCAAACAGGGCAACACCCCATCAACCAGCCATGAACCTTCCCCCAAGTAGATCTAGTAGCAAAGACTCCACTCAGCTAGAACGAGATGGGAGAGTATGTCCAAGGACTAGTGGTAGAAATCCGCAACCGAGCACAGGATCCCATCGTCTTATAGAAGCCCTACTCTGACTGGATCCTGTATAAGCCTTACCCTGTCAGATACGTTCCTCCGTAGTAGTGGCYGCAGTATGATGGCCAGAAGGGCAGCCCGCAAGAACACATAAGCAAGTTTAAAGACATCCTCGGATCCTTCGCTCTTGATGGGCATCTCAAAGTCCAGGAGTTTTCAAAATCTCTAACTAGCCCAGCGTACACCTAGTTTGTTAGCCCCACCACTAGAAGCATCGATTTGTGGGGTGAACTAGCGGAAAAGTTCTTGTCAAAATGGTTCACCCTAGAAAGGAAGCTGATGATGGCTGATATGAGAAATATAGAACAAGGTTCGAGAAAAGACCTCTTGGTGTATGTCATGAGGTTCCAGAAGCTGGCTCATTCCATTTCCGATAAGCACGCCATAGAGAAGAGCTTCGTCAAACAATGCGTTCAAGGGATGCAGCCTGCTTACAGAATAGGCATCAAAAACGTGGTAGTTGAGACATTTAACGAACTATGGAGATGTGTAGAAAGAACAGTGTGCATGGTCAAGAACACCTCACACCAGCCTACACCATATGGAAGGAATGAAGCATATGCAGTCGACCATAAGCCTTGGAACAACGGAGGACCCAGACAGGGGCCCTACTATCACAATGCTGCCCCAGGAAAGAAAAATGACCTACTGATTCCTCCTCCCTTCCCCTGCACAAAAGAAGTGATTATGGTAATGAATAAGTTGGTTGAAGACAGAGTGATCAATTTGCCACCCCCACCAACAGGAGTAGATCCGGAGAAGGATAGATGTGTCGGAAGGTGGTGCAGCTATCACCGGTCACCACACCATGACTTGGTGGACTATTTCTCATTAAGAAGTTTGTTTGTACAGAATGTAAAGTTGGATGAGTTTGTAAAAAGGGACCCAGCGCGAGTAGAAATTGACCCATGCCCAAGGGGGAAGTGTCAATGTGGTAGGAGCAACAAGCCAATATCAATCTGATGCACTAATAGAGAGAATCAAGCAAAGCCAGGAGCTCCAACAGTTCTTCAGCAAGTAGGGAGTAAGCACATCGACAAGGAAGCTGGCTCTCAAAGCGCTGGTAGAAGTCTTCAAGCGCCCATTAGAGCCCTATCGGCCTAATCGCAACAGCGTGGAATTTACAATGGAAGACATGTTAGCTGTCAACCTCTATCACAACCAGCATCAGTATGTTTTAGCGAGAGTTGGGGGCTTCAAAATGAGGTCAATGATTGATCCTAGGAGTTCCGTTAATATGATCTCCATCTATACATTGATGCTGATGAAAATACAACAAGAAACCGTTAGAGGACTGCCGGTGGAGGTAACAAATTTCAACGGAAATGCGTATGTCACAGAAGGGTCCATTGAACGCGTATGTCACACAAGGGTCCATTGAACTGCAAGTAGCAATTGGGCCATTCTCTGTCGCACAAGAATTTCAGGTCATCTCAAGGAGGACTAGCTACCATGTCCTCCTGGGACGACCTCTAATACATGGCCTAGCTCTCATCCCATCAACATATCACCAGTGCATCAAAGCCAAACACAAGGGGTGCGTGATCAAAATGTCGGCTACCAAAGTCCCCGTTGATAAGTCAGAGACTCACCTGCAAGACACGATCTACTACATGGAACTAGCAGATGAAGGAGAGACAAGGATAGTTAGAGACTCACCTACAAGACACAAGGGGTGCCTAGACCTGGACCTCATCAGGCATTCACTGTGCGTAGACCCCAAGTTCAGGCCAGTAGAGTAGCCACAAAGGATCTTTAAACCAGAAGTAACTTTGAAGATTAAAAAGGAAGTCGAACGACTCTTGAAAGTAGGATTCATCAAACCCATAGCACACCCTCAGTGGCTGGCCAATATAGTACCAGTGAAGAAGAAGAACAGGCAGCTCAGGTTAGTGTTTCTAGCTTAGTTCCCTAGTGATAGCACATCATTGAAAACTAAACTATCCCAAGGATGAGTTTAGAGACCTAAATAAGGCCTACCCCAAGGATGAGCTTCCCTTACCGAACATGGACATGCTGATAGACTCGATAGTAGGGAATGAACTTTTCTCCTTCCTAGATGCTTACAGTGGGTACAACCAAATCTTTTTGGACCTTGCAGATGCACGTCGCACGGCCTTTAGGATACCAATAGGGAATTTCCACTACAAGATGATGCCCTTTGGATTAAAGAATGCCGGGGCTTACATATCAAAGGGCCATGACAAGTGTCTTCCATGACATGTTACACAAGGAAATTGAATACTATGTGAACGATATAGTGGTCAAAGAAAAGAGGTGGGAAGACCATCCCAATGTGCTGAGAAAAGTGTTTAGTTGGTGCAAAACTTTCAATTTTAGGCTTAATCCGTTGAAGTGCGCATTCAAAGTGCAATCTGGAAAATTTTTGGGATACAGAGTGGACCAAACGGGGATACACCCACATGAGAGTAAGGTGAAAGCAGTCTTAGATCTCCCACCTCTAGTCAATAAGTCCCAATTGAAAACCATCCTAGGAAAGGTCTCGTACCTAAGAAGGTTCATCCCCGGTCTTGCACATGTGGCGATGCCATTAATGAAGCTAGTTAAGAAGTCTGTAAAATTCAAGTGGACAAAGGAGCACCAACAAACTTTTGAACAGTTGAAGGTTACCCTTGCTAAGGTCCCAACCATGTCAACACCCAAGGAAGGTTTTAAATTTAGGATATATATCACATTGGGTTCAGAGGCAATAGGATGTCTATTAGCACAAGAAGATGACGAAGGAATGGAGTGTTCAATATACTACGCTGGTAGGACCTATAAGTCAGTCGAGAAGAATTACTCTCTAATGGAGCAGCAATGCCTCGCGCTAGTGTTCGCCACACAAAAATTCAAGCATTACATCCTAGGTCAAAAGGTGAGATTCATTGCACGAAGTGACCCAATCAGGTTCTTTATGGATAGACCTCCCCTTTCTGGAAGACTTGTCAAATGGATGATGTAGCTGAGTGAGTACATGATARAGTATACCCAGCCCAGGGCCATTAAGTGTCAGGCGGTGACAGACCTCCTGGCCACCTTTCCCTTCAATGGTGACTTTCCCATATCAAAAGAAATCCCTGGGGACATACCGATGATCACAGTAGCTGAAGGAAGAGAGTGGATCCTGACTTTCGATGGAAGTAGTACTAGTACTTCAGCTGGTGCCGGAGTCACCTTAACCTCACCTAACGGTCAAACCTTTGCTTACTCCTTCAAACTCCAGTTTCCCTGTTCCCACAATATAACTGAGTACGAAGCTTTAGTTCTAGGATTGATTAAGATAATAGAGTCTAGGGCAAAGAAGATTAAAGTGATCGGTGATTCCAAATTGGTAATAGGCCAGCTTGACGGAAGCACAACAACAAAAGAGTTGACAATCCTTCCATATAGGACCTTGATCCAGAGGCTAACCCATGACCTGGATGTAGACTTCAAACACCAGAATAGAGCCAAAAACAAGTTCACCGATGCACTGGTTACCCTAGGATCGAAAATTCAGTCTAGAAAAGACCCAATCGAAATTACCATCCAAACACTTGCCAAGCCATCGACTATCACATTAGAAGACTGGGTAGAAAAGGAGGATGAAATCATGTCAAACGACTGGAGGTACGAAATAATTCAAAAACTAAGCAGCCCAACATTGGAGACACATGATAGCAAATTGCTGTTGAGGTTTCAACTAGTGAATGGAGTGTTATAGCATAAACAAGCGGACGGGGTGAGAACAAGATGCTTAGGTAAGAGAGAGGTAGAGGAAATCCTAAATGAGACCAACAAAGCCCATTGTGGAGACATCACCAACACCCTGTAAAGAAAATTGCAAAGGTTGGGGTACTACTGGCCTGTGATGAAGTTAGACTCCTTTAGAGTACAATGCAAATGCGAGAAGTGTATCCCAGAGGTGGATGCGAGAGAATGCCTCATGGTGGACGAGGAGGATTGAAGGAGTATGTACATAATTTACTTAGAAGACAACACACTGCCGATAGACCCAACATTGAGAAGGAAGCTCCTATCCAAAGCTAAGTGGTTCTACCTCTAGGAAGTAGAATTGTATAGGAAGTCCCATACAGGAAAACCCTTGCGATGCCTAGCCGGCGAAGAGATTGAGGAGGTACTAGAAGTAGTCCACAGTTCTGAGCCTACCCTACACCAAGGACAGTTAGCCTTGTACAATCACATCCTGCACTTGGGCTTCTACTGGCCTACTACGACAGAAGACACTCAAAAACATGTGCACAAATGTCATAAGTGCCAGATCCATGCTGAGATGATACACAAACCTACCAATAGCCTTCATCCTACCATTACGCCTTGGCCCTTTCATACTTGGGGAGTAGATTTCATAGGCAAAATACATCCCCCTCCAGTGGATACTGTTTCATTATAGTGCTACARACTACTTCACTAAGTGGGCAGAGGCTATACCCTTACGAAGGATTTGTGTAGAGAACATAGCCAACTTCCTTAGGCAACATGTAGTCCATCGATTTGGAGTCCCAATGAGGATTTTGACAAATAACGCTTGTCTATTAAGAATCAGGAAGTCCATGACCTTTTAGGGCAGTACGGTGTAATATTAGGAACATCAACGACGTACTACCCACAAGGAAATAGCCAAGTAAAAGCCACCAATAAGACCTTACTAAGAATGTTGAGCAAAACGGTGGTCAACAATCAAAAAGACTGGTCAGAAAAGCTGTCCAAAACCCTCTGGTCTTCTCGCACCACCATTAGAAAAAGCACACAGGCGACACCTTATTCACTGGTGTACGACTAAGAAGCAGTGTTGCCGACAATGATACGGGTGGTGTCCGCTCGTGTAGCCTTTGCGGTGGGAAAAAAGATCAAGCCAAAAGACATGAATCAACTACTCGCAGAAAAACTAGAGGGTATAGATGAAAGCAGGGAAAAAGCATCCCAAAGATAGATAAAATGTAAACAAGCCCTAGCTACAAATTTTAACAGATTGTTGAGACCTAGGAAGTTAAAAGAAAGAGATAAGGTACTCAAGAGAGCATTGAACATTAGACTGGGCAAGTCTGCAGGAAAATTTGCTCCAACATGGGAAGGCCCGTATATTATCAAAGAGGCTCATTTATCTGGCTACTATGTATTAAAAACTGTAGATTCAGGAGAACAAGACGAAACAATAAATGGTTACTGGTTGAAGCCTTACTTTGAATAGCATGGTCTAAGATGTAAACTTACTATCTCATGTATCTGCTTTAGAGATGAATGTATCAAAGATATTGTCTAAGTTTCTTTATTTTTCTAATAAGCATCCTTATGTGATTGTACTTTGCCTATAAATAAATGTGATGAATTCCTGATGCATATGTTAGCAGCCCACGTGTTGCGATAAAGTTTCTTTTTCAGTCCCAGTGGTAAAGCCCTGATGTATACATGTATTTTGAATATAATGAATTTACAACTATTCGTTGATGCACTACTTTGATCAAGGTAACCTGTGTACTAACCTTTGATTATGTCTCTTATACACACTCGTCTCATAGAAACCCCAGGATTGCACTCAGATTACCCTGGAAAACCTCGGGAAGGCCCTGGTAACCCCAAGTGCGCTCTTATCTCCTGGCAACCCCAGGACTGCACTCAAATTCCCCGACAACCCCAGGAAGGTGTTAGATAGTTTTGTATGCCCTTAGTTTCAATCAAAATGATGTACTTTATGAGTTTATTGTAAATGAATAAATGTGCATATTTGATTCATGTTCCCTTGGTATGTTTTTGTGTAATACCCTTAAACTGGACACTTAATGAGACTCGTGTTAGTTTAGAATGTTCACAGCCAATGGGTCGGTCTGGGGAGACCTATC